ACCCCCCAGCTAGTTCAGGACAGAGCTCCACCTAGGACTAGGCTATCCTCGACTGTGCTTGTTCCTCGAGCATTTATTGAGCACCTGCTGGGTGCTGGAAACAAAGAGGGTGAGTGATGCACTTTATGACTCTGAGGCTAGGACCTCCCTCAGTCCTGGCCTCTTACCCTTCACCCGAGAGCCCTCTGCCCACACCTGCTGTCCCCTGCCTTCTGCACGTGCAGCTGGTAGGAGGCTTGGAGGAGCAGCCTGGAGCCAAGGCTGAGCCTGGGAGAAGCAGGTAGAAAAGCTCCCAGTGGGTCTTTTTCTTGTGCCTGGAATTGGGCTGTACTGGGTACCAGGCCTGGTGGGATTTGAACCTCTAGACCAAATGCTCTTGTCATCAGCTCTTAAATACATTTTGTATTTTAATCTCCTGAAAATATTTATGTTTAGGGCCACAAAGAACCTTAGCGATCATCTAGTGACTTTTTCAAGGCCCAGAGAGAGGGTAGGTAACTTGCCCCAGGTCACACAGCAAGTCTATGAGTGGTAGACACAGGGCTAGGTCTGGGCATTCAGCACACACCATGATGTGCGTCCTCTCCTCATGCTGCCTCTGAGGGCTCCTGTAAATTCTGTGTACATTATGCCCACATATGTAATGTACACACATGTGAACACATAACACACAAGCCCTAGCCTCAGCTCTGCACATCCTACACTCCTGCCCTGGCCCTGCTGCTCAGTGCAGCAGGCCTGACCCTGCTTCTGTGCCCTCCCTGAATCTCTAGTACCTTGGTACCTTGGCCAGGACAGGTGTGTGGCCTGGTCTCATGCAGATCTCTGTGTACACTCTCAATTAAAGTGGGTTCGTTTCTAAGCTGTGCCCTTGACCATGTGTATTTCCTGTATTTCCAAGAGGAGGTGTGCCTCTTCGCAACCAGGGCTGGCCTTTCCCTCCCCAAGTGGCACCTGCTAGGGTCCTCGCTCTGCATGTCAGTCTGAGTTAATCCTCAAGGTTAAATATGTGGGGGAGGGGGAGGAATAAAGCCCCAGCCCCTCTCAGCCCGGGCCCTCCTGGGCCCTCTGTGGGGGAGGGGTGTGTGTGCTGAGTGGCTGGGACCCTCTAGAGGAGTGGACAGGTGAGACAGGAGGAGAACTATGGACCATCAGCCCAGCGGAGTCACCACATGTTTGAGTTCTGTGTGGCTCCTATAGAGCATCAATTTTGCCCCCAGGGGACATTTGGCAGTGTCTAGAAACACTTTTGACTGAAACTTGGTGGGGTGTGTTGTGTTACTGACATCTGGTGGGAGGAGGTTAGGGATGCTGCTGAACACTCCCTGTGGCCAAGACACTCCACAAGAAGGAGTCACCCTGCTCTGAATTTTGGCCATGGGACTGTCAGCTCTTGAGGGCAGGACACTGCCCAGGTCTGTGCATGGTTGATGTGACGTACAACTTTCTGGATGGTCCTTAATAAACACTGGACAAGCAGTGTGTGCCCTGCTGGACAACAAGACAGGGCGTGGGTGGGGAGGCAGGTGGAAGTAGAGGGAGAAGGTGTTGTCCCGAATATGCCACCTGGGACCAAGGTTCTCCCTGGGTGGGGGGAGAGAAGGGAGTCAGCCAGGCACCGGCTGCCTGCTTCTCACACCTCATCTCTGGCCGTCCTCAGATCTTCAGCTCCAGGAGATGCACCCTCCTCATGTTTATCAGTTTTCAGTATTGTGTCCTAGATGGCACAGCTGATGAAGTGGCAGTTTGGGGAGTCCAAACCAGAGGCCATTGGTCTCCACGTGGGTGAGGAAAGGATTTACATCTGGGAGATGGAGACAGGTCTATGCTATCGATCAATCAGCAAACGCCCCTGAGCATGTAGGTGCAAGGCCCCCGGAGATCGAGGTCAGGCTGGGCCCTGCACCTACATGCTCAGAAAGAAACAGGGCAGGCCCCTGTGTGCCAGGAGCTCAGGCTCTGGAGCAAGAAGCCCCTACTTCACATTCACAAAGCAAAGTGAGCCTGGCTGTGGTGGAGGCAAAACCAGGCAAACCTGGGATGTGGGGGAGCAGGGGAGAGCTCCCAATCTCGGCCCACCCTGGAGGGAGCCCAGCTCCTTTCTCTGCCCACCTGGGAGCCCAGCCCCCTCCCATCCTTTGCCCACACCAGCCAGAGAAGGTCAGCGTGGAAGGCGAGTCACCCTGATGCTTTCCCAGACCTGGTTTTTGTAAACGTGTAATGTGACGATGAGCACTCCCCCTGCACTGCAAGTCTCTGCACCGCAGGTCAGAGCTGCACCCCGAGAAGGGCTGAACAGGGAGGCAGCTGGGTGCACCGGAGCAAGCCTCCCACAGGCATCAGGCCCAGCCGGCCCACCTCCTCCATGTGCGACTGCAAGGAAGTCACGTTTTCTCCCAGGATTCAGGTGGTTCGACTCTAAATGAGAGGTGGGGAGGAGGGCAGCCAACCTAGATAACAGCCGAACAGCCCCTTGCAGCCCTGTGTTGTCTACAAGAGAATTAATATTCCTATTACATAACCCATAACATTCCGATCGTTGCTAAACAGAACACGCTTGCTCCAGCCCCAGTCCCCACATCCCACAGACACCCTGGAGTAGGGTTAGCCAGCAAAGGGCTTTGTTAGAGGAGGAAGGTTTCCCCAACAAATCTCTTCTTAGCCCTGGGACGGGGGTTGGAATAAGACTGTAGGAAAACCCCCTCACGGACAAGCCCAGGACAGCCAATTTAATTCCCGACCCTAGGCCTTGGGCGTCTGATTTCAGAGAACTCTGCACTGTGAATTCTAAGTGCTTGTTCTGTTCCGCCTCCCTGAACCTGTCACTTACTCAAAAGAAAAACTTCAGCCTGCGTCACAGCTTGGCGGGGGCTGACTAGAGGCCAGCCGGTTCTCAGAGGCAAAGGCTGCTGGGAATGGGGGAAGGGAAAGGGGGAAGGGAAAGGGAGCTGACCTGTGTTGAAGACCTACCGTGCACCAAGCACTGTGATGGATCTGTTACCTGTATCCACTCATTGGATCCTCATGGCAAAGCGATGTGGAAGGATGATGCATCCCTTTTCACATATGAGGGAAACTGAGGCTCAGAGAGGTAAAGCCACTTGCCCAGGGTTGCATGCCAAGTGGCAGATCTGGGCTTGGATCCATGTCTGATAGCAAAGCATGTTTTCTCCCCAGAGCTTTTGTCGCTGGGCCAGCTGAGGGGCTGCCCTCTGGAGGGAGAGGCCAGCAGGTTGGAAGTTGTTCAGAGACGGGGGCAGGTGTAACTCACAGGGCGGGAGATGCCCTACCACTCATAGCAAAAGGAGAGCTTGATTTCTCTTTCATGGGAAAGTCCGAGATAAGCATGCTAGGCCAGAGGGTGGCTGTGCTCCACCTGGTCACTCAGGCTCCACCTCTAGGACCTTGTCACCATTGGCAAGGTCGAAGCCACTGCCACAGGCGGGTTCCGCGAAGGGGTAAGGGAAAAGCGCGCAGAGGATGCATATCTGCTGTTTTCAGGGCCCTGGACACATCCCCTCCACTCACTTTCCCCTGGCAAGACTCAGTCACGGGACCTCCCTGATCTGTGAGAAGGGCTGGGAGTTGCAGCTCCCTGCTAGGTGGCCACGGGCCCTGTGGTGACTCATTACTGTAGAGAAAGGGCAGGACCGATCTGGCTGGCCAGCTGACAGTCTCCACCCAGTGGCCTCAGGCAGTGGGTCCCGGCCTCAGGACCCACATGCATCCTGACTCAAACCAGCTCAGCTCCGCAGACCAGATCAGAGGGCAGCTCTGACCTCCCACTGCTCCTTTAGACCGCCGCTGGCTTTATTGTCCCCCTTTCCTCGATGAAGACAGACTGTCCCGTGCTTTTTCTCATCTATACCCAGGGCACTACCGGTGGCAAATACAGCCTCAGTGAAGCCCTCGGCCCATTTCAGCCTTCATTCAGAGGGAAGACTCTCCCTTCTTCCCTGGGGCGAGCGAGGTCTACTGCGCACAAAAAGCTGCAATCTGGGGGAGAGGAGGGTGGGCAGATTCTCTTTTTCACTCTCCATGGGCCCTTAGCTAATTTCAGTCCCTCTCTCCTGCATTCTTGGGAGGTGGGTCTGGTGGTGGGGGCAGAATTGCTCACAGACGCTGGGACGTCTCCTTGCCTGGTGCCATGGTACCTAATACAGACAGTCATTGCTCAGTGCAATGACTGTCATGGTAGATGTTTAACGATGGCACTGAAATCTCAGGGATAATTTTGTAGATTTTTTCAGAGGCCATATAATAAGTGCCAGCCATAATTATTTCTGTACCAGTGAGGTCCCTGCGGGCCCACCTGG